TCTTCTTAAGGCCCATAGTCTCCAAGAGGCACATCTCCCTGGACCTGAAAAGGTTTTTGGCATTTCACTCCACATATTTCATTTTTCCAAGGGGTGTTTCAATACTTATTCTTTTGAGTGCCTCAGAATGACTTGTGGCTCTGGAGATCAATATATATCCTATTGTTTTATTCGCAACACTGCAATATTGCTAGTGGCAATAAATGTACCACTGCCTGCAAACCTTGCTATTTTACCCAAGCTGAGTAAAAAGGTCTTCCAATTGTCAGGATGCCCTAATAATATTGCTGGAGATTTTATTTTTGTGATGGACCCTAAATGTGATAAGCTGAGACCATTGCAGTCAGAGACCTCCTTTTTTTTCTTCAGTGGTGTAAGGTGTATGATTTCTGTGATATATAGAAATGGAAAAACCCTAATGCCAGACAATGTTCCAGCCAGTCTAAATCTTTTAGGGCCCTTTTAAGGACTGATCTGGCAATACCTTCCTCAAACATATTGCCCTGGATGCTTGATATCAGCTATATTACCCAGTCTCTCTCTGACCATTCTCCAATAAAAACTGCATTGTCTTTTTAGCACATAAGTCCCAAATTAGAACCTGGAGATTAAATCCCTTATGGCAGTGGTTCTCAACCTTTCTAATGCCGCGACCCCTTAATACAGTTCCTCATGTTGTGGTGACCCCCAGCCATAAAATTATTTTCGTTGCTACTTCATAACTGTAATTTTGCAGTGGGAGGACTAGCGCCCCATCACTGATGTCAGTGGGATGAATAGTGTCCCATCGTTGGTATCAGTGGGAGGAATAGTGTCCCATCATTGGTGTCAGTGGGAGGAATAGTGTCCCATCATTGGTGTCAGTGGGAGGAATAGTGCCCCATCATTGGTGTCAGTGGGAGGAATAGTGTCCCATCATTGGTATCAGTGGGAGGAATAGTGTCCCATCATTGGTGTCAGTGGGAGGAATAGTGCCCCATCATTGGTGTCAGTGGGAGGAATAGTGTTCCATCATTGGCGTCAGTGGGAGGAATAGTGCCCAATCATTGGCGTCAGTGGGAGGAATAGTGCCCAATCATTGGCGTCAGTGGGAGGAATAGTGCCCCATCATTGGCGTCAGTGGGAGGAATAGTGTCCCATCATTGGCATCAGTGGGAGGAATAGTGTCCCATCATTGGCGTCAGTGGGAGGAATAGTGCCCCATCATTGGTATCAGTGGGAGAAATGGTGCCCCATCATTGGTATCAGTGGGAGGAATAGTGCCCCATCATTGGTGTCAGTGGGAGGAATAGTGCCCCATCATTGGTGTCAGTGGGAGGAATAGTGCCCCATCATTGGTGTCAGTGGGAGGAATAGTGCCCCATCATTGGTGTCAGTGGGAGGAATAGTGCCCCATCATTGGTGTCAGTGGGAGGAATAGTGCCCCATCATTGGTGTCAGTGGGAGGAATAGTGCCCCATCATTGGTGTCAGTGGGAGGAATAGTGCCCCATCATTGGTGTCAGTGGGAGGAATAGTGCCCCATCATTGGTATCAGTGGGAGGAATAGTGCCCCATCATTGGTGTCAGTGGGAGGAATAGTGCCCCATCATTGGTGTCAGTGGGAGGAATAGTGCCCCATCATTAGTGTCAGTGGGAGGAATAGTGCCCCATCATTGGTGTCAGTGGGAGGAATAGTGCCCCATCATTGGTGTCAGTGGGAGGAATAGTGCCCCATCATTGGTGTCAGTGGGAGGAATAGTGCTCCATCATTGGTGTCAGTGGGAGGAATAGTGCCCCATCATTGGTGTCAGTGGGAGGAATAGTGCCCCATCATTGGTGTCAGTGGGAGGAATAGTGCCCCATCATTGGTATCAGTGGGAGGAATAGTGCCCCATCATTGGTGTCAGTGGGAAGAATAGTGCCCCATCATTGGCGCCAGTGGGAGGAATAGTGCCCCATCATTGGTGTCAGTGGGAGGAATAGTGCCCCATTGTGGGTGTCAGTGGGAGGAATAGTGCCCCATTGTGGGTGTCAGTGGGAGGAATAGTGCCCCATCGTTGGTGTCAGTGGGGGGAGGAATAGTGCCCCATCGTTGGTGTCAGTGGGGGGAGGAATAGTGCCCCATCGTTGGTGTCAGTGGGGGGAGGAATAGTGCCCCATCGTTGGTGTCAGTGGGGGGAGGAATAGTGCCCCATCGTTGGTGTCAGTGGGGGGAGGAATAGTGCCCCATCGTTGGTATTAGTGACACCAATGATGGGGCACTATCCCTCCCACTGACACCAATGATACTTACCTTGCTGACTCCTGCTCCAGCCTGGGCTCGCTCTCTCCCTCTCCCATCTACAGCCTGCATACCTGGCTGCAGCAGCAAAAATTTGCACTTACCTGTCAGCTGTCTTCCTTCTCTGGCCTCTCTCTTCACTCGTTCCTGCAGCTCCCTCGATCTTCTTCGATCTCCGCGCGCTGCCGCTCGGCTCCTCCTCTCCAAGCTCCACCTTCTCGCCGGTGATTGGCCGCCTGTGTGCCTCTCCTGAGCTACAGTTCCGGTGGCCAATCAGCGGCGAGGAGGCGGTGACAGGGGCAGCATATCATCCCGCCCACACATCGCCGGAGACAGGAGCGGCGTCTCGGTTCCTAAGACCATCGGAAATATGTGTTTTCCGATGGTCTTAGGCGACCCCTGGGAAATGGTCGTTCGACCCCCAAAGGGGTCGCGACCCCCAGGTTGAGAACCGCTGCCTTATGGCTATGGCTGGAAAGTGTAAACATTGTAATAAGGAACGATATGGAGGAAAATGTATTCACTTTAAATGTATTCATTATTTTCATTATACTCCTGCAAAGCTAAACCGCATGGACCTACTCTCCAACGCTGCTCTGAATCTCAGTCTATTGTTTCCATTTTTTTTGGACGCTTTCCCATACTAACCCATACTTGACTCGTAACCTTCTATTGCCTTTCTGGGTCCCAAAACACCAGTGGAAAACTTTTTGGGGTTGACTGACCTATGCATCCTCCATTTCTAACAAACCATGATTTGTGACTACAATAGAAAAATTCCAGTCCACCTGGCATTAGGCTGATGGTTAAAATTATAAATTATTTGCTATCTAAACTTAAAACTATATCAGAACAGCATGCCCTCAAAGATTTAAAAAAAAATGGGTAACCACGGATAGACATGATGCATGACCCCACCTTGCATTCTACCCCCAGTAATGGATCTACCTGATGTACCTAAACAGAATATTTATGAAGATCATATATTTCTGTACTCTTTGCCACATTTTAATTAATATTTATAAGATGGTCCCCTCTTGCATTTCCCCCCCCTTTCTTTATAATGTTGGATGGAGGTGGAGAACAATGAGTGAGTGTGTTATTGTGTGTATGAGATGTTGAAAATTTCTATTATGTTGATATTATCACACCAACTGCTGTCAGATTTCTTTATTACATAGTATTTTATATTTCTGTTTTGTAAAACTGGAACTGAAACTTCTCAAGTTATGTGCAGGGACCTCTAGGTCCCTGCATTTTATACTTGTTAGCACATTACATTTTTTCATACAAAATCACTTTTAAGAAGAATTCAGGTCTAAACCAGCTTCTAAAAATACAGATTTTAAGATTCTTAAACATAACCTGTTAACAATATTAAAGGGTTTTTTTATAATATGTAAATTAGCTGAGCTCCCTATTTTAATATTTAAAGTCAACAGCAAGCAGTGACATTTTGATATTTCCATCCCAGTAGGTTCCCTTTAAGATATCATCAAAACATTGAATACTTACACCACGGTTTACTCAAGGTATTAATTGCCCCTAGTTCCCACCTTACATTGAATTAGGTATGCACAGAGAAGTTCAGTTTTGTTAAAGGACAAAACAGGATTCTATGACAATTTTATGAAAAACCCCTCAGCCCCCCCATCCCCCATACCTAATCTCCTAAACTACATTAAAATGAAACAAATTGTCTGCAGATGCATACCTCCTCCAGGCTGTCTGTACTTACACACCAACTTTCCATTGATGTGAATGGGGCGTGGTGCTTCTGTGGTATGTCCCACACAAGCCTATGGGATGTTAGAGCACAGGTGCTACACCCTAGCACTAGATTTTTACCAGCTATTCTGTAAATGACATGTGAAGCTGCTGCTATTGGAGGAGGTAAACACCTGTGGATGGTTGGCTCAGTTTAGGGTAGTTTAGTGTCCTAGGGAAGGAGACTGAGGTGTTTTTAAGGAAGTTCCAAACTGGACCTCTAAAGGGCCACCATAGAGAAAACAATTGTACTCTGGTAACCGTATGTTGTTAATATCTGTAATAATAAGTAGTATTTGAATTCCTGTTTAATTTCAAATACATTTCTTTATTTTTTTATCCATCTTTATCTGCAAACCAAACTGTCCAGAAAAAGTGACAGTTACATGTGTTGACACAAACCAAATAACATTGACAAGGGTGCTTACATTGGGCATTTTTATTCATATGGTTTAAACCTTTTTTCCAAAAGTAAAAAAAACTTGTTCCTCTAACTGCTTAAAAAGTGTTAACCGGGGTTTCAGTTTTAATTGTTTGTTGATTATTTAAAGCCCATTTAAACCTATATGCCCAACTGAGACTACCCTGTCAACATGGTGAGAACACTGCTATGTGATTGAACTGCAGATCAAATTGCGTTTTCACTGTGTTAAAGGAAGTGGAAAATATAGATCTACTGGCAGAATCAACAGGTATTAGGAAAGGGTAATAGCTGAGACTGGAAAAAATGAAAACCACTGTACTCATTCTAGTGTTGTATCATACAGTATATGTTATTTGTTCTTTTGCTTTTAGAGTCAATTTAATGCTTTTTTTCTGTGTGGAACTCCCCAGGAATCCATATTGCAACAATTATTAGGTAAAATGGCACAAATACACTGACCCCAAGACAGTACAGTTTAGATATGACACAAGACACCCAGCTACATGTACTTAGCTGTACATAAAATGTACCCACAAAACAGACTTACCTCAAACAAGTCATTATATGTCTCTTGACTTTCTAGATTAGTTGCTTTAGTCTCCTCAAAGCAGGTGGAAAAGGCAAAAAGAGTGAGGAAGGTGCACAGCGTGAAAAGCATGATGGTTCTTATGTCAATGTGCCTATTTTCAAGTGCATTCAGCTCATTTGGAGAGGTTGCTGCTGGGTATCCTTCATTATATATAGGCTTTGAACAAAGAGCACCTGTAAACATTGCATTCTTAAGCCGTCTCAGTTTTAATTAATATGAAAGTCCTAAATTAGATCATAAAGAATTAGAAGAATTTGTTTGTGAAGAGCTTACAAACAAATTGACTTAAGGAATAGAATTGTTGAAACCCAATTAATTATGACTCTTTGGAGGGCATAGCAATTAAGGGCTACAACAACAATGTTCAGTTAGTACATAGTCCAGATTTTAATTGTGCTAATTTAGGTTAGTGAATTCCTTTTATTTATATTGTATTTTATTAGCATAAAGATCATTTTAATTAAAGATTATGCATGCAGATCATTTCCCAAACAGATGTATTTGGCTCTGACTGTGGAACAAGAAGGTGAAGAATAGAAGCCATATATTTATGGTGTGATGAAATATTAAATGATACAAAGGCAGCAGTTTTATAATTACATATTTCAGACCATTGCTTGTATTCATGAATGTCTAATTACAGAGCTCATGACTGTTCTACTCTGTGTATGTATGACCCTGAGAAAAGTGTTAATAATTCTGAAAAACTTTGCTGATTTTCAAGGGTTAATACACAAGTTTAAATCAGGCCTAGACTGGCCATTGGGTAAACAAGACATTTGCCCAGTGGGCCAGGGCCGCCTGGCTTAAAAAGAGCGGCCTGTTGATGACTGGGCTGCACAGCAGGAGGTAAACGGCGTCCGCAGTCTGGAAGAGGCTAACACAGACCGTGGTCATGGCTCACTTCCCACTATGTCTAAAGCAGTGCCGACAGGCGGAGTGGCTCCAACGACAAGCAGGAAGCACCGCCGAGGACACACAGACACCTCCCCAGCCGGACGTTGCAGACACAGCCACACTGAAGGGACAACGGAGGCCTCTCTCCTTCACCAGCCAGCACACTGTGACAGCTCTGTAACGGCAGTGGATGGCCTATCTCTTTGCTTTACAGGCTGTCTCTTTGCTGGACAGTCTGTCTCTTTGCTGGACAGGCTGTCTCTTTGCTGGTTGAGCTGTCTCTTTGTTGAACGGGTTGCCTTTTTGCTGGATGGGATGTCTCTTTGCTGGATGAGCTGTCTCTTTGCTGGATAGGCTGTCTGCTGGACAGGCTGTCTCTTGCTGGACGAGCTGTCTGTTTGCTGGAAGGGCTGTCTCTTTGCTGGACAGACTGTCTCTTTTCTGGGCAGGATGTCTCTTTGCTGGATAAGCTGTGTCTTTGCTAGATGGGCCGTCTGCTGGATGGGCTGTCTCTTTGCTGGACAGGCTGTCTCTTTGCTGGACAGGCTGTCTCTTTGCTGGACGGGCTGTCTCTTTGCTGGATGAGCTGTCTCTTTGCTGGATAGGCTGTCTCTTTGCTGAGCAGGATGTCTCTTTGCTGGATGAGCTGTCTGTTTGCTGGATGGGATGTCTCTTTGCTGGATGGGGATGGTTTTTTCTGGATTGGGATGTCTCTTTGCTGGGTGGGGATGTCTCTTTGTTGGATGGGGATGTCTCTTTGCTGAACTAGGCTGTCTCTTTGCTCACTTGGGTCCAGCAAAGAGACATCCCAATCCAGCAAAGGGACAGCCCAATCCAAGAAGGGACATCAACCTGGTATAACCACTTAAACTTCAGTCAAATACCAATACATCGCTGGTCCTTGTTGGGTATATATGCTATGTTCTTTTTTTTTATGCAGCCTGTGGGCTGGATGAAAAAAAAAAAAATCTCTGTTAGAAAAGGTGTGTGGTATGCCCACCATTAGAATATACCACCCTGCATCCTCCCATTTCTAATGCTGGGCACACATGAAATGTGCCAAAAATTTTATAAAGTATATATGCCGAAGCATAAGGGCCATCCACCCACTGGCCACCCCAGGCCCCCATGCTTCGGCATATATGCTCTTTTTTCAACTGTGGATGAAAAATCTCATCCAACAGTGCTGCACACAGTGACTTATGTATATTCTGAAAGCAAGTTCCTGTTGTTGTCATAATAAACAAGTCGATGCTGCAGCTGAATAACATTCCTGCAAAGAAAACAGCAATGGTTAACAATAAAACAGTAAAATCATAACAGTAGAACAGTAACAACAACAAAAAAACCCCCAAACTATTTTTGGTTTTTAAAACTTAAATTTTTTTTTGGACTTGAACTTTTTATTTATTTACTTATTTACATTTCTTTCTTTTAAACTTTAACTTTTTAAAACAGATTGTAGGGTCTCTCAAAATGTGATAGCCAGTTTCCTGACTACCTAACATCTTTGAGACCCTGTGTAAATATGTGCCCTGAACTGGGCTGTGCTGTACCCTATACTAATACTCCACTATTGTGTGGTAGAGATGGAAGCAGTCCTTGAGGCAGAGAACAGGTTGGCCAGGACAGGAGGGACAAAAAAATTGGGTGTCGCGTCTTATTCCGTGTCTGCTACAGACACAACATCTTCTTCAGGGTGACCTTTGGGTTGGGGTACTGGAGAGGACGTCTGGAAAATGCCTCTTATGCAGCCGGATAACTGCATCTGGATTTGAGGATTGGGCCACAGCACCTTCTGGATGCAAAAGGGCCGTGATGATCTTGCCCTGGAATTTTAGGAAGGATCCACTTCATCCAGTTGCTTTGTAAATTACAAAAGCGTTATATATAGCCAATTGATTAAATAAATATACACCTTTTTGTACCAGTGTCGAGCTTTCCGGGAAACTAGGTACGGATTCATCATTTGGTCATTGAAGTCCACCCCCTCCCATGTTAACCAGTTCCCTACCTCGCTATAGCCGAAGGACGGCTACAGCGCGGTTGTCTGGTTCTGGACGTCATTCCAGAACATGCCCCCTGCTCGTCCCCAGCAGCGCGCACCCAGCGCCGCCGGTGATGACTGTGTGCTACGAACACAGATGATCACGGGATATGGTAAACGACCAATCACGGTGGCCTTTTACCACATGATCAGCTGTGGCCAATACCACAGCAGATCAGCGGTTAAATACAGTTGCTGGTTATCAGCTGCACTTTCCTCACGCTGTCACAGCGTGAGGAAAGTACTGCCGAGAACTGGCAATTGTCAGCGAAGGGATCGGCACTTATCATCAGGCACTGATCATCAGTGCCCTGATGATCAGTGCCCAGCAGTGCCGCCCACCTGTGCCACCCACCTGTGCCCAGAAGTGCTGCCCATTTGTACCCATCAGTGCCATCCACCTGTACCCATCAGTGCCACCCACCTGTGCCCTGCAGTGCCACCCACCTGTGCCACCCACCAGTGCCCATCAGTGCCACCCACCTGTGCCCTGCAGTGCCACCCACCTGTGCCCAGCAGTGCCACCCATCAGTGCTGCCCATCAGTGCCGCCTATCAGTGCAGCATCATCAGCGCCAGCTCATCAGTGCAGCTTATCAATGCCACCTCTCAGTGCTCCTATCAGTGCCCATCAGTGCTGCCTATCCATGCCACCTCATCAGTGCTTATCAGTGCTGCCTATCAGTGCAGCCTTATCAACGCACATCAGTGAAGGAGAAAAATTACCTGTTTGCAAAATTTTATGATAGAAACAAAAACTTTTTTTTTCAATTTTTTTTTGCTTTTTTTTCTTTATAGCGCAAAAAATAAAACACCCAGTGATGATTAAATACCACCAAAAGAAAGCTCTATTTGTGTGAAAAAAAATTATAAAAATTTCATATGGGTACAGTGTCACATGTCCCCGCAATTGTCATTCAAAGTGCGACAGCACTGAAAGCTGAAAATTGTTCTGGGCAGGAAAGGGGTATAAGTGCCGGTAGGCAAGTGGTTAAGGTTATAGTCGTGGACACAGAGAGGTTTCTCAACAATGCCAGATACCGTGTTAATTTGGACCGTCGCGTCTGCGTGAATGGAAGACAGGACGAAAACATCTTGTTTGTCCTTCCACTTCACTGCGAGCAATTCATCATTCCTCAAGCAGGCTTCCCCCCCCTTTCTAAGTTGGGTATTTACAAGCTGTTGGGGGAAGCCCCGGTGATTAGCTCGCACGGTGCTACATGACCAATTCCAAGATTGTACAAATGTCTAAATAGTGGCACGCTTGTATACAAATTGTCCACGTATAAGTAGTACACCTTACAGAACAAATAGGACACCAAGTTTCAAACTATCTTGCCACTGTTCCCCATGTAGTCTTGGCAGTCGGGGAGCTCTACTTTGCTGTCTCTTCTCTCATAAACCCTAAATTTGTACGTATAGCCTGTGGCCCTCTCACAGAGCTTATACAATTTGACCCCATATCTGGTATGCTTGCTGGGGATATACTGCTTGAATGCAAGGCGGCCACTAAAGTGAATGAGGGACTTATCCATGCAGATGATTTGCTGGGGCGTATACGCATCTGCAAATTTCTCAGTGAGGTGGTTTATGAGGGGCCGAATTTTGTAGAGCCTGTCATGTTCAGGGTCACCTCGAGGATGACAGAGTGTGTTATCATTGAAGTGCATGAAGTGCATTATCATCTCATATCTATGCCTGGTCATGGCAGCAGAGAACACGGGCATATGATGAATCGGGTTCTTTTTTGTAATGCCCATGTTGAGGGTTAGACCCAAAAAAGTTTTAAATTTGGAAACCATAATGGGTTTCCATGGGAATGGTCTGGCAAGGTTTTAATTTGAGTTTGTGGTGATATATTGTTGAACATATAAAATGCTTTGGCCCACAATCAAATTGTACAAATCTTCTGTAAAAAACAGCTCCATAAAATCAAGGGAAGTAGTTAAATTTGTTGTTTCCACCTGAATTCCGGGTTGGGCAGTGAATGGGGAAGTACGGGTGCTGCAGAATCTGTGGGCTGCCAATCAGGATTTGCAAGCACGTCCGGAAGGACACTAGGGGCTCTACGGGCCTGTGTGCGAATTCTTGGTGGCTGAGGGACACTACTTGTGCTCGCCACCACACCAGCTTGTACTGCACTTATGGGACTTTCCATGTTA